AAAGTCAATCCAACTTTGACCAAGCATAACTTCTTCATACTTTATCAGAAATATTCCATCCAAAGCTCATTTTGAAGAGGATACAATTCCCTACAACCCATCTTCAGCTTACAAGTTCAAAATATGCACTCATAAAAATATATGAATTTTGACATTATAGGTCCTTTTGAAAAGTCAACAAAAATACCTTTTGGGTCAAAGCTTCATACATGAACATGGAAGACTCAATTGAGATGAGACCAAAAGGGTTGCTAGGGGGACATCCTAATATTTCAAAAAAGTCCAAGAACACCTCTCTAGGGTTAAAATTGGACGAGTTATGCCTTGTCAAAGTTGACCTTTTTTGCAAAATTGCCAAAAGTCAAATGTGCTCACAAATGCATTTTTTTTTGCTAAATGGGCCAAACTTTTTATGCTTGCACCTCACTTACAATGTGGTCCACGACTCAAACATTCACCTACACATTATTTGCTTCATTTTTCAATTTATTTTGATTTTTTGTTAATTAAAAAATGAATTAAATCAAATAATTGATGAATAATAGCAAAGATATGATTTGATTTGGTTTTTGGACAGGTTGGCAATCAGAATATGCTGAATTATCAAGGCCAAAACGAATCAAGCATAATTGGTACAAGAAAGGGAAGATTTGGCTCAAAATAGCAAGTTTGTATATGGTTAAAGAATCAAATCAAATCTCATCAAATTTCAAGATTTGATACAAATTTGTTGACCTAATTCAGTCTACTATAAGGGCATAATAATTCCAGATCAGAAGAAGGAGGATTGGAGTCGTGAAACTATCAGAAGAAAACTGAAATTTTGGACAAAAAGTGTGAGATCGAAATCCATCTTAGAGCCACCCTCAAGGAGTTTCAAGGCTAGCAATACATTCCTGGACATCTCAGGAAGCTTCTCCATTCATTTGCAAGCCTCAAAGTGTCAAGAATCGCACATTACAACATCACGGTTTGCACAAAAAACTCAAATTCAATTTCTATGATTTACATATTATAAATGTATTTTACCCATATATTTGTGTTCATCATCATGTTTGCAATGTTTCTGGATAGTTTGATTTAAGTTACAGTGCAAGAATAAGCTTTTGCCATTGCTAGGGTTTCGTGCTCCAATTTGGGGTTTTGTGATTTAAGCAAAATTAGGCCTGATAATGGATTACATGACGATCAGAACTTCAAACCCAGTTGTTCATGGTCCCCAATTGAATTTATATTGTGTGTGCTTGATTATTGAATAACACAGGTTTATAGTTATAGCAAAACTGTTGTAGGTAAAAGTCTCATATCTAAAACGACAGACAGGGAAGAAGACAACAACGTGTCACAACCTGACTGGCTGGTTTAAATTCTAGCGCATTTTTGGCATAATCATTGTTGTATACTTTTTGTTTTATCTTTATATTATATTAACAATTGAGACATCTGGCGCAATTGGTCAGGGGAAGGAAGTCAGAAGCTCATGTCCTGGGTTCGATCCCAGGTGTGAGATTTTGGCATTTTCTCCATTATTTCCTTGCAGGTTCCATGCACCTCACCTTTTGAGGAGCATCATCTTCTGGATCCACCTCCAGCCAGATCTAGCACATCTCACCTTCTGAGGATCATCATCTTCTGGATCCATTCCTAGCAGGTTCCGTACACCTCTCCTTCTGAGGACCATCATCTTCTGGATCCATCTCCAGCAGATCCAGCACACCTCATCTTCTGGATCCATCTCCAGCAGATCGATACACCTCATCTTCTGAGGATCAACATCTTCTGGATCCATCTCCAGCAGATCCATGCACCTTATCTTCTGAGGATCTCACCTTCTGAGGATCATCATCTTCTGGATCCGTCTCCAGCCAGATCCAACGCCAGCATATGCAGGTCCACCATGAGCCCCCAGAAGATGGTCTCATGGGATCAGGCGCCAGCCTCTGAACCATCCTTTTGGGTTTCAGAAGTTCAACACCCCCTAGAATTGCTTAAACAGGCCCTTTTCTCATCTTTTAATTTTAATTCTTTTTTTTTTGTAATTATTTTCTAACTATTCCTTTTTTAAAATAACACATAAATCATTTTTTATTTATTTTTTAAATCAAAAAATCACAAAAAAATACCAAAAATCTTTTTCATAAAAAATATTTTATTTCCTTGAATTAATTAATTTAATTTAATTAGGGCAATTAAATCTTATTTTTGTAATTAAAATCAATTAGAAACTAGGGTTTACTTTTGTATGATAATTAATTTCTTCTTCAAAAATAACTTAAATATTTTCTCAAATTAGATTTTTTAGGTTTTATAATCGTCCTCGCATTTAATTCTTCGCGCGTATTTTAATTACGTTTTATTTTTACTGTAATTGTTTCAAGGTTGTAATAGTTTTAATTAGGGTTTTAAATTCCGCACTTTTGTTTCCCGTCAAAGCAATTATGTAACTGTCAAAGCCGTGTAATAGCTAGGTTTATTTCTGCTTTTAAATTTCTGCAATCTTTAACTGTCTAGATGTATGACTAATAGGATTGTATGGCAAGAATGCATGAAAAATTAAAACAGTTAAAAAACCCTAATGTGCAAAGATTAAAATAACTGAAAAAAACACACTTGCACATGCTCACTCTTAGGGTATACTCTCACTCTGGTTGCTTTCGGTAAACGGTCATGAAGCATAGGATGTTTTAGTGGCTATCCTCTATGTCCCAAAAGATCAAAAAATTACCCTTTCGACTGTTGCCTCAGAAAGGATCTTTAGGACTCTAGGATGGTTACTAAGGTGTCCTAACATTGCTTTTGTGACCGTACGTCCCTTTCGAATGTCCCTTACAACTCCAACGATGGTGCTTCCTACTCCTTAATAGTGGGATAGTGTTGTCTAAAGGAAATAGAACAGAAACGATCTTCTTTCGAGTAGGTAGATGCTAGTAGGTACTTGCTCAAAATAAAACTTTTCACACAAACACTTTTCAAAAATAGTTTTCAAAACAACTTCGTCACATCCTTGAGGACTGATACAAGGGTTATCACGAAGTAAAACATTTTCAATACAAACACACACACAAGCGGTTTAAAAAATGAGCAAGTACCTAAGAGCCCGTAGATAACTACGGATAGAAAGGGTGCTAACACCTTCCCTTTCTATAATCTACCCCCCGTACTCAGAATATCTCGAAAAAAGGTTTTTTCTATTCTTTTTCATTTTCCATGATTGGATAAAATAAAAGTCGGTGGCGACTCTTGCTTACTGCGACATTTTGCGAACACAAAGCGCAAAACGCAAACCAGTATTAATAGTCGGTTTTGCCACCGTATCACACCCTCCAATCAATTCTTATCTCGATTAGAAGTAAATAACCAGCAAAATCCTTTCTCGTCTCAGTTTCAGTTAAACTAAGATATGGATCACTCAAAATATCTTCCTTTTCATTCAAACATGTTGTGTCAGTCTCCAAGCGATAATATGTGAATTATTCTACGTATTGTATCAGTCTCCATGCAACAATATGTCTTTTCTTTGCGATTCAGTCTATTGTGTCAGTCTCTATGCAGCAATGTCGTTTAATCAACAATTCCACTCATTGTGTCAGTCTCTATATGTCAATATGTGAAATTTTATATATTTAACTTATTGTGTCAGTCTCCATGCGGCAATATGTTATTTCTTCATGATATAGCTCATTGTGTCAGACTCCAAGCAGCAATGTCACAAAATCAACAATTCAACTCATTGCATCAGTCTCCATGCAGCGATGTCTTTATCAAACTTGTTCCATTGTGTCAGTCTCCATGCAGTGATGTCTTTATCAAACTTGTCCCATTGCATCGGTCTCTATGCAACAATGTTGTTATCAAACTTTTTCTGTGATATTACTCATTGCATCAGTCTCTGTGCAATAATGTGTTATTAGACTTTATTTTATCCATCCCCTAGGTTGCGATGAATAAGCGAAATCAAATCAAACCAAAACTTACTATATTAGTCTCCTAGAGTTAGCAAGTCAACTTTTTCAAACTTGTATCATTTACCTCCTAAAGTACGGTAAATACATAAAATTTTACAAATCTCCTTCAGATACTGACGAGTTACCCGCGTCGTCATATCTGAATCAGGTCAACTTTGGTTCAAACACTGGTTATATGATACATCATCATCTACACCTATTCTTCATACACATGGGAGCATTGTACGGTGTATCCTTGTAATTTTTCGGACAAATTTCGGAGTTTTACAATATTTAATAAACTTTCGATTCGAACACACGAGACCTTCGCATCGTCCAGTCGAAGGATGATTAAATAGGGGCAGCTATCATACCCCAAATTTGTCCTACCCTCCATTAAGTCATCTAACACTTCATGCATCATTGATCAATAAACTTGGCGTAGGATCGAGGATTTTTGTAAGCTAGGGTTTCCTTATGATTGTGAGATTTCCACCTCACTCAAATTTGATTCAACTGGTTCATTCATCAATTATGGGTTGTGAAATTAAGGTTCAATTTCATGGTCACTGAATTTTGTCTTTAGCGATTTACAAAGTTTCCCTTAATCAATATTTATCGAAGGCCAATGAGTTAGTTTTTCCTTATCCTATTGTTGCTTCGAATGCAAGTTGTTGTAAACATGGGGGTTAAGGCATGTAATTAAGGTTTTAGTTCAAAGATGCATTCATTATGCAAGGCTTGAGCTTTAAGTTATATTCAAAAGAGCTAAACCATGAAGATAGGGATCTATTCGAACTATAAGTCACATAATCATAGCATTATAAAAAAGGAGAGGACACTTGAGTCTTATTCAATTAGGGTTGTGAAGGCTTGAGGCAAAATTATTTAAAATGATCAATTGATTACTCGTAACACATGTTTGCCAAGGGACTCATCTTATTATCTCAGAGTTAAAGCTAAAGGCTATGAATCAAAGAGAAGTAGTATGACATTGAATCACTCATGTGAAATTAAAAATCTTGTACATAATAAGCTACATGGATACAAAGAAAAATGGAGAGACTTGGAAATCTAGAAGAGAAAGATGGTTCAAAAGTGTTTCATTTAAATTCACAAAACCAATACCCCATGAACAATTACAAAATACATTCAAAATCAAACCAAATCATTACAACATCATCGTGGTCACCATTACAAAGAAGATTACAAAGAGAGTTTACATGGAAATGCCAAAATCTACTTATCCTAGACCTAAGCTCGTTATTAGTACATCTCCATTTTTTTAAACCAGCTTCAAGACATTTTCAACCTCCCCATGGCCAAACTTCCAATCTCCAATCTTTCTTTATGCTATTGCTTCTTTAAAGCTTAGGCCTCCTCCATGACAAACTTCTTGTCATGTAGTTACACCTACAAGAAAAGCCTTAAATCAAAACAGCAACATTACATGATAACCATGAAGCAGCCTGCTTGAACCTGACCCCATGCCAACAATTCGTACGTCTAATCCTGTCAAAATCAGAAGAAACCATCCCAATACCTGGCAGCTCTGCACAGACCAACATCAGGTAACACTTGCATTTCATACCTTTACAAAGCATCCATAACAGATAACTTGCACCAGTTCATACCAGTCCATTAACACAACAGAAAAATCTAAAACCAGTCAGAACTAACCTATACAAACTACTACACCAATTAACCAACTCCATTAACCAGTTCCAAATCGCTTAAATAGAAACCGGTACCCTGTTTATCACCAAAGAAAACAAGTTCAAAGAACTGGTTAATTTCACAAGCCAGTAAAGACAGTTCACGATAAAAAATCAGTACACAACTCATCAAAACATATATCCATATCATATCAGAATTAAAAGAAAAAGAATTAAACCAGGACAGATAAGCATCAAACCAAAAGCAGACACTTAATTAATTCACGATTTGGAAATATTTGCTACAATCCAGAAACAGAGCATACTCAATAATCCATGCACAAAATCATACACCAACTGAATCTATACTCATTAAACAAAATCAGTGAATGCAGGAACACAATCAAGACATGATCGGCTAAATGTGGAAACAGATTAAAAAGCATTGAATCCTATGAATATAGAAATTATTTGAATTTCATGAACATAAATGCATACACATTGAATTTTTTCCTAAAATATCCTAATCCCTAATCGATATAAAAACCCTAATATTAGAGCAGTAAGGGGGCGAAAGAAAAAGAGTGAAAAAGCAAAATATAGTAAAGAAAAATGAGATACAGAAACGAGTTCCCTTTTACAGTAGAGGCAGAGATCAAAATAGTAAGAGGGTTCTTTCTAAGCCACCTCCGCTGTCATGCCATTTCCTCCATCGTCGCCGCCTTCAGTCACCTGCAATCACGAACGAAAGGAGGTTAGCGACCCAGCAACTTGGGGACAAGCAAACAGATTCGCAAAAAGGTAACCTATCTTTTTCATTGTTTTTTTGTTCTTTCACGGTTGATTTTAGGTGAAGGGTTATGGCGATGGCCGTTAGGGCTTGGTTTGGATCGGAGTAGGCACCGCCGGTTCGGTTTGTTTGGGGGGAAGATGAAGAAAGAGAGAGTAAAAATAGAAAAAATGAAAAAATTTGTAGATTAAAATGTTTTATTAGCATAAAGATCCCATGCACGTCGTCTCACGATTGTTACCATACACTCCCAGTGTCAATCACTCGATCACCATCCAAAGCTCATAGATATGTGTGTCCGTAGTAATATCATGCCCCTGTCCATACACTGGCCAAACGGATCCATGTTAAACACCCTTTGGGCCAGGCCCAGTCACTAACTGCACCTTGACCTTTATTGTTTTTGCTAACCAGTTGAAAGCGTACCCCCTTTAGCTTATGGGTCTGAATTCAATATTTGAATTCAGGACCTGCTGTACACACCCCCTCATTTTACCAGATCATTAAAACTTGCACCCTCTTTACCAATTATGATTTTTTTTTATATTTTCTTTATATATTTATTTACTTAATTATGTTCCTATTTTTATTTATTTATATTTTATTGTTTTAATAATTATAATTACATATATGCATTATTTAGTTATTATTATAATTAATTAATTATTTTATACTTAGTAAATGTATTGTTTATTCATATTAAAAGATCACGCTTAAAAACGACTTTCGTGATATAACATAGGTTAATGTTTTATATCCAACTTTTAGAACCCACACTTTCCATCAAACTATAATATTCGTAAGCGACATGTGGCCAATATTTGGCCACGTGATAAAAGGGCTATATCAGACTCTTCAGCTACATACGTCCAAAAAATACACAAACAAACGTCAAACTATTTTTATAATAAATTAAATCAAACAATTAATTTTCAAAAAGGAATACAAAGAGTTTTTAATTAACTTTGCGTTTAGTTCAAAATCTCCGTTATCTACACATTCGAACAAAGTGCGGGGAAAATTAAAATATCTGCGTAATCCGTAAAAAATACAAACCAACTGCGAACTACGAAATGAGACTCCGATTTCTCCTAAGAGGATACCTAGGCATACGATCAAAAATCGTGGCGAGTTCCACTAACTAAAATTTAAAACTTTTTCTCAATAATAATTAAAAACTCTATTTCCTAAAAATGTGCTTCTAAACCTAGTATCCTTGTGAACAATGTAGATAAGGGGGTGCCTAACACTTTCCCTTCATCTAGAACCGAGTCCAAATCTAGAATCTCTGAAACTTTTTAGGGTTATTCCTTTATACTCCCATCCTTTAGGATAAAAATTAAGGGTGACGACTCTGATTTAAAAACCAGTTGCAACAGGGGGTACACGTTTGTGAATATGGGAGGAAAGCAATAAAGTCCTAATTACTATTACAAACCTATAAATTACAATAATAATACACAAAATGTAAAGGTGAAGAAGAAAATAAGGCAATTATTTTTAGGGTTTTTTGATGAAAAGGTTTAAAGGTTATCCTAATTGAACTACTTACTTAATTTACAAAGAAAAGAGATTAATTATTTAATAAAAATCTATAATCTAAGTTTATTGAAATTAAGAAGAAAATAACCCTAAGCCTAAGTAAATTTGTTTAGAAAATAATTTGAATGTTAGTATTAATTTAGAAGGTGTTTTACAATGTAAAAGAAAATAATAGAATTTAATTTAACAAAAATAAGATAAAATATTTAAATTAAATTATTTTAAGAAAAATATATGTTTTTTGTGTTTTTAGTTTTAATAAAATAAATAAGTAAATGAAAAAAATAATGAAAATATAAAATAAATGGGTTGGGTGTTTAAAAGTAAAAGGGTGGTAAAAAATAGTAAACAAGCCCAACTAGGTTTTTTGTTAGAATCAGAGAAGAAAAAAAAGTGGAATTGGGCTGGTGGTATAAGAAATATAGGGGGTGAAAAGAACAAAAAAAATCCAGGCCCATTAGGGAAGGTCCAACGCTTGTTTTGGTTGTGTGTGGCCAGCCCTTTGGAGTGCATCATGCACTTGTTTTATGGTGTATTGAATGAGTCTTTGTGATGATCTTATGGCATTAATGTGAGGCTCCACGGTGAGCGTGCATGGCCAGAATGCACTAGATCTGCAAAGAAATAATAAGAAAAACCAAAAGGTTACCACTGGGGCTCAAACCTAGGTCCCTATATACTAATGCCTTACGCGCGCTTCTCCTGCCACTGGGGTGGTTGTTTCATCCGTGATTAATACAGATTGCAATAAATATAAAATAAACTCTTCCCTAATGGAACTTTATCCCTAACCTCGCGCCAGTATGTTCATCACCATTTTTGAATTTTATAGCTTTCTCATCTCTCAACCAAATCAGAAAATGTTAACATGAAAGTTGCTTGAAATTTCATCACAATTTCAAATATGTAAATAACTTAAGCTAAAACTCAAAGATGAACATGAATTTTTGTTGGTACCAAATTCTGACCTAATTTTTTAGAAAGTTCATCTTCAAAATTTGCATCACTCAGGCAACATAAATGAAATCTAAGGGCATGGTTAGCTTCAGGGCTATGATGTCTATATCTTTTATTCACAAAGTAACCATTAATGATGCTTGTAGAGAGAGTTCAAAGTTGAGAAAACTTACCTCAAAACTGGAAATTGTGTTTTGAGTTTGAGCACTCCTGGAGGTGTTGTGATAATCTGAATAGTTTTAGTGGACTCATAGGAAGCTAATGCAATGCTTAGTTTGAGCTGAGAGTGCTTGGATCTTATTGGAGAAGTCAAGTTGCAGAACTGAGTTGTGAAAATGGTGGATGGTGATGGAGGTGTTACAGAAGTGATCCAAGTGTTTGGATCACTTCTATATGATGTATAGATGATGTTTGAGTGATTAAAATGAAAAACACACAAGTGGATTTGAAGTTTGGGATTCAAAGTCAGAAATGGCAAGTTATGGAGCTTTAGATGCAATTTCTGGTTTGAGGGAGTTTCAAGGCTTGTGAATTCATGTTTTTCTTGAAAAATAGTGCCTCTATTTATAGGGAAAGGTTTGGAGACCTCAGGTGATCAGAATCACAAGATCGCATGTTATAGATTTTTTGACTTGTTTTTGAAGCAAGCTTGAAACATCTTATACCAATGCATAGTACAAGGCTTGTAGAGTGGTTTAACACTTTAAACATGCTTCTTCTAATCTTGTAGGTTTAGTGTGTGCATAAGAAACAAGTTAGAAGCTCAAGACAAGTTGACTTTGTGATTAAAGCAACTTTTCAAGAATGGCAATTGTGCCTTTGTGCCATAAATGGAAAAATCATGTGGACAATGGTTTAATCACTTGGACCATAGATCAATCAAACGTGTAAATATTAAATTAAGGAGTGATTGTCAAGTTAGAAACCTGCAAAGCAAGATTTATGCAGCATGGCTTAGGATTTGATCAAGTGTTCATCATTAAAATGACTTGTAATTCAAGAATGGATGCCCAACTTCTTGTTTTCGATTCTCTTAGCTCAAGCATGATATCTTCAAGTTATTGGACATTTTGGAAAGCTTGAAATATTGTCTACAACCTTCATGCTGACCATTTTGACAAAATCAAATTGGAATTAGGTGAAAATTGGTCAAGAAGTTAGGTAAAAAATCTGCCTAAACTATTTGAAAATTTCACTATGTGTTTTATGAAAAATGCCATGTCTTCATGAGCCTATATCTTCAAATATAAGAATTTTTTAGACATCAACCGTCTAATACAAAGTTGCATAGTTCATCAAGATCTACAACTTTTATGTCGAAAGTTTTTCTTGAATCATCTTGCATCTTGGTGAAAAATTGTCATGAAGTAATGAAATTATCAAGGTTAAAAATACTTAGAAATTTTCTAAGTATTGAAAACTTT